AAGATTTTTTATCGCAATTAAATTAGAGGGGGAATCATTTCGGGAAAGTGGCTTTGGGATAATTGACATTAAAATCTAAAATAAATACGGAAGAAATATATTTCTTATCGAGATTAACCAGAGGGGGAATTAACGATTTTGGGAAAGGGAATTTGGGATGATTAAAAATGGAAAGGGATGAAAAAGGAAGATGTCAAGATTTCCCGCAATCGCGATTTTCAGGAGTTTCATATCTTGAAAGAATGGTTTTGTCACCGAGTGAGAAGCTCGCGGGAAAAGCACGTAGAGGGTAATCAATCCGGTTATCGCGCTCACGCCGGATATCATTTCAAGGAGAGATTGTCTCGAAAGAAACGCAACGCGCTCGTTCGTTAGATCCGCGAATCCGAGTCGTTAACAGCGACCGGAATTAATCACTGCCGATAAGGACGAACGCGGCTACAATTGTAGGTCGTTCGATTAGATGCACCAATCGAAACCCACAACACTTTGAACATCTATTTCCAGATTTTAATTTTTAAACAAAACTTTTCATGCGGATACAAATCTCTCCAGCCTAATTTTAGAAACATAAAGTAATATATTATTTGAATACATTTTTTTATTATTTCGAAAAACCAATTATTCCGATAGTTGCCGCAATGATACGCGCCATTTAATCTTTAACCGCTCCTAGGAAAGTATTTGGTGAAATGTTTTTAAACTCGTCAACTAAATACTTTTGATCTTAACATTTTATATATTTTTTTCGAGTGTCAGAAAAGCGCAGGTGAATAAAGATATTCTCTCCAAATTTGATTTGGAGGAGGATGTTGAAGATATCTTCCGAGAAAGAAAATCGAGCGGCAAGAAATTCTTCTTAACGTTCTCTCAATGCAGCTGCGTTTGCTTGTCCTTACCTCGCGATAACAAGCGTGACAAGGTAATGGAAATGTGTAGTTGTCTTGATTAGCATTATTTCATAACTGGCTGGCAAATGAAGATTTCCTGTTTAGCCGCGAACTTTTATTATGTAGTAGAAAGCGTTTAGTATTCCTCGTAACTGTGACCGTTAAAATAACACACATGATCCTGCCCCGATGGAACAATTGTTTATTGTCGATCACGCACAGAAATCATTGCACGTAACGTACATATCCCTTCATCTGTTAATTTCGATCATGTATCATTAGTACTGAATTATTTTGTACGGAGCTAGTTTCTTCCCTCGTGTTCCGAGAACGATAGAAATGTTGATTTTAAAAATCATCGATAAATGAAGCCGGTAAACCCAAGCGGTAAAAAGTCATCGTCAAAGCACTATGTAAATTCATAAGCGTGATATTCCCAGTTCGTCGAATTCTGCCTTTTCGTTTTCCGATCAAACTCCAAAGATTAATCCTCGTATCATTTTCACCACCTACGTAAATGGATTTGCATGATGACACATATGTGACGAAAGTAATTTCTTTCGAATCGCCTCACAATTGACATAACCTGCCGTTGTTCGCACGCGACATTCTCAGGTGGCCCGCAATCGATGCAGCCCCGAACACGTCAGGATCAAATTTGCGAGACAACAATTAGCTCCTCAAATTCTCTCCTCGGCCGTCATTGTATGACTAAAGTTTCACGGATGTATCTTGTTCCTTGTGCGAATAATACACCGACAAAGTCGCGAGATGACGTACATGTAAAACCGCCATTTTGAACCGCGTCACGAAGTGGGCTGAGCCGTCGACTTTCCTGTTACGAGATTTATATCCGTGTAACCAACCAAGGTAACACAGCCGCATTTCAATAAGAAATTTTTAATTCATATATATATGCCTCGCGATCGTAATATGCTATAATTTGGAATAAATTAGAACTAAAACGCGTAAACGTAGAATAGAAACAATGGATTCCTGATCGTTTAACCTAACCTTCGTACGAGAATCAATGTATTGCTTTTTTCGAGTGGTAATAATCTTCCTCGATTATTTCCTCTCGTTACGCATTCGCCTGTTCTCATTTATAGGTTAGTAATTATATTAACACGTTCACGCCGGCGCGTACCACCGGTGGCTCGCGCTTGATTGCGCCATCGGGCGGCGCGTACCACCGGTGGCTCGCGCTTGATTGTGCCATCAGGCGGCGTGTACCACCGGTGGCTCGCGCTAGACGCATCATCGGGCGGCGTGTACTACCTGTGTTTCGCATTCGATTGTGCTATTAGACACTGATAATTTAACGTACATACATAAAAACGTGTATTTTGAATAAAAATTATAATTAATAACGTATTATGAACATAAATTTTGCTTAATAACACACACATAAAAATTCAGTATTATGAATGTAACTTCAACACTCAAATCTTCCCCCGAGGAACATTCCATAACGTTGCTGTTTACGTTAACAAAATCTTCGCCTGAAGAGGAAGAAAGTATTCGTAATCTTGATGCGTTTCTCCTGCCTCTATTTACACATTCATCAGACGAATCACTTATTTCCATATCCATGTTATGGGCAAAATTAAAAAAATATTTTTAAGGGCAAAATTTAAAATATTCTAACCACCTTTTAGTTATTTTTACTAACAGAAATCTGTGGTTAGGATATAAAAAACGGCACGAGTCACATAATTTGCAAAGTAAGCGCTCAATGTAATACTGAAGAAACAAGAAGCGCGTGCAAGTCTGAACACGCGAGAAATGCGCGCCGCCAGATGAAGCGCGACATAGATTTGTGTGCCGCCGTTGGGGGAAACAAATGAAAATTGGCGCCGGCGGGAACGTGTTAAACGATAGTTTGCAGACGTGTTACTTTGAATCACCTCATGAATGGCTTCGCCCGTTTCTTACTACTTGTTTTACCGGTTCACGTGTTGAGCATAAAAGCACAAATAACAGTGGAAAGGCCGATAAAAAGTGTAACATTCAACGCTTTCGATGTAAAAGATACGTTCAATTGTAAACGTGCATAGGCTTCAAAGTATCGACTGCGAAAATGCATAATCAATAGTGCTGTAATTAAGAATCATTAACGAAATTACACACCATGGTAAGGATGAAGTAAAGATATATTGGATCGAAAATTAAGACATCTTTTGTTGGTCTTTAGACGACATCTCCAACTTCAAGATGTAACTTAAGCATTGCAAAATTATATTGTACGAAATTTCGGCATTAAAATCGGGCATCTGAATTTATGGTATCCGATTGAAAAAGGCGTTTCCACCTTCGTTTTAAGGTATTTTTAGAACAAGGATCATGAATAATTAATCCGAGATATTTATTAAGCCGCGTTTCAACATTTCAGCAAGGATATTTAGTATGCAGTAGCAGTATCGCATTGCCAAGGAAAACATTTCAATATGTAAAATACCGTATGTTCAGAATTTATGAAGGATTAATTATACTAACTTATAACGTGAAATATATTAAGTATCTATGACTTAACGATTCATGATAACCTCTTTTGGGAACTTAAATCCAAAAGCAGGGTTTAGGTTCAGCGATTTATGCATTTCCTGCATTTGCAACATACAAGAAAAATATTCCACCCAAGGAGACAATAAACATTGTACCGACTGCTCAAATCTCCCGATGCCGGAAGGCGGGGTCATCAATTACAAGATCAAGAATTATTCTCGGATTAAATTAATCTTCCTCCGTCGCGACATGAAAAGAAAAAGAAGACATTATCGCACTGTCTCGCCTAGTATTTCGAAACATATAGCGCCATGCTAGTTCTGTAGAACTACAATTCACAGTCATTTCCTGTTTCCAGTCCATTCTATTTAAAGTGAAGAATATTTTTAAAATATTATATGAAATATCTTCAAATTGATTATATTCTGGCTCTTAAGTATTAGCATTTAAAAAAAGGTCCATAATAACGTAACAATGTCAAGTTAACTGCATTACTCAAGTCTACGTCATGTATTAGTTAATTATATAGTTCATGACGCGAATAAATTACCATTTTACCAATTCGTATCGTATTTAGTAATTCAGGCGATTCCTACCGAATGTTCTTCGACATTGCGTAAAATACAATTTAAAAGATATAGATCGATATCGGGATTAGTCACGTGACTGCTGATATTCAAGCTAGAGCGCTTCATTGATATACAGGGTGTGTCATAATCAGACCGTCTCCTCCATTCACCCCTTTAAAAATAGAGGGGTATGGTTATTATGGAAAATCCGAAAAATTCTGATAAATAAATCGGATTTGCCCTAACGAATGGTAATACTTTCAACTTCCAATACTAATCAGAAATAAATATCCACCCTGGAAGTTGAATTTTTCAAACGAGACATCGTATTTTTCGTCGCAATTTTCGATTCCACAAAAAAAAATAAGAAGGTTTTGTCTCAAAGGAGATTTTCGAATGATGATTATTTTATGTTACAAATCAAAATTATACATGAACACGATAAAGAAATTTTATCACATGGACGAATAATCAGTTTTAACAGATTTTCTTTGAATTTAAAGGAATGATGCTTGAAACTAAGTAACCGAATAAAAAATGTAAAGCATCTTTCATAACAGCTAACCGTCCCATTCATGAATTGCACATTCAAGATTACATCATGCTCGATAGAGGGATTTCCAAAAAAATCCAAGTAACAAAGCTTATTTCTTTCTCGCCCCGGAGTCTAAAACAGCAAGAAAAAAATGTCATGTACCATTTGGAAAAGCTCAACTTGGATATTCCATTTCCGTATAGTACTGGAAGTTATCACCGTTCGCCGGAGCATGCCCGAGTTAGAATTTTCCATAATTTCCATGTAAATCATTCCCCTCCATTTAAATAGGTGGACAATTGGCCAGGGTACCCTAAATATCGTACATATTAAAAACTGATAGATATTCGCATCGTTATCGAGCCTAGAATGAAAAAGGTTTGCGAGGCCCTTGCCTCGATTTTCCAGTACCTAAGGTCCCTTAAACGTTGGGCAAGTAAATGGGATAATGGAAGTAGAACATGACCAATGAGGGGAGTAGCGTCACAAAGGGCGACGTACCTTGTTGAAGTGGGCCTGGAGAAGTCGTTCATACTGATCGACGGCTCTGAGGCAAAGCCGCGTGGTGAATGCCTCCATACGCGTAGGTAAAGGCGCGTGACACACGCTGCTGGACATTATTCCTCCCGGGGATCCGTTACTTCCCGTCACTGATATACGAAACGAGATTGCCACACCGGCACGAGCGTACCGTGCATTAACGCACGCACGCAACTGGCGCTAGTTCCGCGGTCGTCCGCCGCGCGGCGCCTCGGTCGCCTCCCGAACTGCACAGGCTAACCTCAATCGAACGGGTTCACCGAGTTCATCGCATGGGCGACGCGCGACCAAAGGAGCCCTCCTCTCTCGACTCTCCGAAAAAGGGAAGGCGAGGCGGTTTAACCACTCCGAGGAGTCCTCGATGTCTACGAAATCTCCTCGACGTCAACTCGTACAGACTCGTAGGTCTTGTCGACTGGACAAGTTCACGGCGTCGGCGGTTTGGGCGTGCGCGTTACCATAGGAATGCGGGGGCGACCATGGCGGGAGGCCGGTTGAAAATGAGAATTCGCTCTTTCTTTTCTCTCTTGAAATTCTCGCTTTAGGCCCGGTATATTTATGGAACGGTTGAAGCTTTCGATCCTTTTACCGTTTTTGAGGTAGTTTGACGGCTTCTCGTTGGGTTTTTAAATTCTTGCGAGTTTCACGGGGTTTGGTAATTGGACAAGTTTTCGATACGCGCGTCACCATAGGAATGCGGGGGCGACCATGGCTCGAGGTCGGACGGTTGAAAGAGAGAATTTAGCTTTTTCTACCCTCTCGAAGAAATTCTCGCTCTATGCCCGGGATATATTTATGCAACGATTGTGGATTTCGATCCTTTTACCGTTTCGATGGTAGGCTGGATCGCTCCCCGGCGGGTTTTAAATTGTTTCGACTTTGCCGCGAGGTTTCACGGGGATTGGCAATTGGATAAGTTCACGGGGTTCAGGGGCCGCGCGCGTCACCATGGGGCGCGTGGGATGCGACGAGACACTGTTAATCCGTTGAAGAGTCGTTTTCTTTATCTTGTGTCTTTGAAGTATTTGGTAGAAGTAGTCTTGCTATCCCTTGAATAATTAGTAATCCTTCGCACCTCTGCAGTTTCCAGTTAGTGCTCCTTGTCCACGCCAAGAATCTTCGGGAAATTGGACGGACTCAAGGTGCCAACTTCACGAGTCGCTACTTCACCATGGTGCACGAAGTTCCAATGCAAGGAAGGTAATAGACCCGAGCACCCTTTTCTCTTCCGTTGTCTATACTTTCTCGTATTTATGAATTGATCTAAATCACCAGATACAGTATTTCTACCCGAGGGCACGAGTTCATTGCACGAGTCCTGAGCCCCACTGTAGAGTGTGCACACTATACGCGCGGTGAAGAGGAGTCACAACTTTAGGAGCAACACCAGTTCGTCCTCAAAGTAGAGTCCCATCAAATGTATGCTTCGGTTTATCGTAAAACTGTCACAGGGACAAAATCTAAATTTATCGAGTCCTCAGGGTCCTCTTTCCCATGAACCACAACACTGTACAGGATCAGTCCACGGATAAGGGACTCATCTATGCGCACCACTCGGTAACTATTAGCGACGTTTTATTGTTCTTTGTTACAAGCGATCTTTGTTGTAGCGATTTCGGCGAAAACTCCGATTCCGATGATATCGATCGATCTTCGAGTAAGCGGGAGCGCAACGCCGAGCGGCTGCCTCCTCGGTGTCGAAGTTGTACACCGAATACAACTGAATAGAGGAGAGAGCACGAACGTCATTTTATCGCCCCGACTCTCCCGTCTCCCACTCTCGAGACCCACGGTGTATGTACACGTACCCTAATGCCTGAAGAAGCAGAACCAGAACCGGCGACCACTCTCGGCTCGCCGCAGTCCCGACTCGCTCGTCGGGTGGAACGGATGATCCTTGTCCCACCTGTGAATCATCGAGCACGTTTCGTTTATCAGAAACACTTCCCTCAGACACTCCAGTCACCTACGGATACGCAAATTTCATTCAAAATCTCCTAATGGAAGTAAATGGAAAAAGTATCTCGTAGCTAAATACTAATTCACTTTTGTCCTACAATACTTTACTATACTCTTACGTCTAGTGGTATTTAAATTGAAATCTGCAGAAATTTAATTTTAATAACAAGAGCGTATTGCGGCTAAGAAGTGGTACTTGTTGAGAAATATCTCTGGGGGTATTGACCTTGGTCAGTATTACATTCTAAATGTAGTTACAGGTATTGAGTATAGAAATTTAATTTTAATAACAAGAGTATGTTGCAACTAATAAGTAGTACTTGGCGAGAAATAATTCTGTGGGTATTGAACCTGGTCAGTGTTACATTGTAAATGTAATTGCAGATATTGAGGATAAAGAGCTTTGCTCGGGTTTTGGTCTAGATTCGAAGCTTTCAGATCTTGTATACGGGAACTCTGTGGAATTAGTATTTCTCTGTTTACACAACAAATATTGCGATTGCCTTTACAGTTATCAAGCCCGCGATAGCGGTGCATTTCATCTCCCTCCTGTAATTACTCTTGTCCACAATTCTGATCCGTATGCCGGGTGGAACAGGTGGATGTTGTTCTACCAATGAATCATTGTGCCTTTTTTTTTATTGCAGGGTACTTTACAACCTTGCATCCTTGAAGGTAAATTTCAAGGAACAGCCTTGATGCGTGTCAGAACCGAGATTAATGTTTAATCACTTTTTTTTACGAGGCAGTCACGCATTTATCGGCCATGGAGAATACTCTGCCGAGAGGAAAATGAAAAACATTTCTCATATCAATTAAAAACAAATGTGACTCCCGTACATACACACTTTACAGTTAGGTCTAAAAAAAGGGAAGGCGTAGAACACTTGAATTATGCAGTCTATGTCTATTTTCAGGACGGGAAACGTGTCACTGACCAGTGGAAGACTCTCCTCTTGGGGGACGAGGGAATCCTAACACGTTTCCAACACATGGAACCCCAACTTACATTTGACAAGCATTAAACTCGTTCAAGTCGCATGAATTACCGGCACGATTTCGCGTACGTCCTCGAATTTGCATTAGAATCCTTTTGCGGAAAGTTTTCGAGATACGGAATCTTTGGCGAAATGCCGTTTCCTGTGTTACACGGATGAGGAGACAAAAAGTTATCGAACAAACCATCGCGTAGTTTGGGGACATTTATATTCATCGTGGATTCTTATTCCGCGCAAATAAATCGTCAGTTAACGTGCGACTTCACTTCTATCAAGAAATGCTCACTAATTTCGCGCATGTTTTGCATTTTCGTCCGCAGAAAATGCGAAATGCCAATGAGGAGTCTCGCGACCGATGCAGCAGTAGGGGAAACAATTTGCAAGAAATTATAATTCATATCTGCTTGTCAGACAATTTCCCCGAGAAATTTCTCCAATTATTCGGTGATTCATTTGTTAATAGTTCCGCAATCTTGTCGCAATTTTTTATGTACACGGTAAATATTTTTTCAACACTTCTGTCATTCATTTCTTTAACATTGATGTCACTCATTCCTAATTTCGCGCCTCCTGGTTTAATGTACAATTTCATCGAACACGTTTTTATCGTACGGCTTTGAGAAGCGGTCAAGCCCAGGATCTTGACGATGAATCACCGGAGTGGGTATATTACGTTGATATGTCAATGAATCAGAAAATCATCGTAGATCGTAGTTGCCGCAGGGCCGCCTCAACTCGTAATTGACCGCGAAGGTATTCAAGCCGACATACAAACGACGTCGACCTACATCTCACGAAAAGCCCTGTACTTTCTCGATTTTCTCCAGCTCGTACAATGTACTTCTCCTCGTGGGAAAAGTTCTTACCGAGAGTTCTCCCTACTACTCGAACATTTACAAATAATATTGCAGTATCATTGAATAATTTTGTAATATCAAATTACACGTTTTATGTGATGATGCACAGAATTTGTATAAAAAAAGGAATTCTTGTGGCAAGATAGTTACTTGTTATTATCAACGGGATAAGTGTGAAATTAAGTGAATTAAATTAATGCAAATGTCAAACGGTATTCGATTTTTTTTTAGCTTAGCTTCACCAAGCTTTTGTTATTCCTTGTTACTGGGTTCCTTTTTGTACAGAAACGACGTGAAATTAAAAGTTAATTCGCTTGAACAAGTAAAAGACTTGGAAGAATTAATAATATTCCCGTAGTAAAGAATATTCGTGGACATGGAATTTAATAGATTTATAAAATTCTCATGTTTTCTTTTAAAAATCGGGTATTTACCGATGAATTAATTCTTGTATTAACTTGGAAACATATTTATTATGAATAAATAACTTGTTATGAGAAGTATTAAGCTATTTCAGTTGAATACAGCATTTTATCCAAAAAGATGATGTAACTTCCGTCAATATTACCAATGCCCGTGGCAAACATTATACATGATATTTTTTGTAACAAAATTATTTCCACTTGACATTGTCATCAGTCGAGTTGCAGTCAAGAAATTTCTTTAGCAAGAAACATTTAAAACGCCGGAAGTTACCTAAAAATTCAACAATTCATTCCGAGTGCTTACGATTTTTTCATCGCTTTACTCTATGACTTCTGAAAAATTTGAAAGCACTTCCGGCAAACTTTCAAACTTTTAATATCAGTATACATTTGACAAAGACCATCGAGGTGAGTATCCCTGACACAATAACATTTATTATCGGTTTGATGTAGGTAAAAGCCATCGACGGCTTACGGATGGAAGGCGTAACATTTTACAAAGATTTAATAATATTTGGACTTAAGTATCGATGTATGCCAGGAAAAGAGGAAAGGTGGTAATTCGATGTTGTATTTTACGTGGTAACGATGGTTTAAAAAAATCCCACATTTTATCGTTTTTATGGGAATGGTTCCCCTCATCCGGATTCCTTGACCTCGTAAAGACTCTCAGGTAGCATTGCACAACTTTACGACGTCGAAACGCATGCTTTATGTAATAAAGGGCGAGTCATGCTTCAACGTCTCTTTCAATGGGTCCCGTCTCATAAAACATACAAAGTATTTACATGCAAATATTAACACATGGGCGGGTGCAATAATATGCTCCGATTTACTTCTCTCTTTTACCTCACAGGGAAAGAGTTCGTTGATCTTGCGGTCTACGTTTCACGATAAAGTCTCGCCCTATCTACATCTTCAGGACTTCCTTTCCAGGAAATTATTATCTCTATTTACTTCCACCGATCCCAGATATGTCAAGATTCTCCCTTTGACGTCAAAGTGTACGACCTTCATAGATAGGAAGATAATTCCGGCCTCGGAAAGATGATTTTTGGTTTCCAACCACTTCAGAACTCTTCTATCCAAACATTTGGACATTCATTTTAATTTCCCAGTTGTGCATTATATATTAAAAGACCTTGCGCCAAATATACTTACTTTCAAATTTGTTTCTCATGAAACGTACTTTTAAGAAACTGGCTCATAAACTAAACATCGCATGACAGAAGTAAATAAAATCGGTATAATTAAAAAAAGAATACCGCGAATTTCTACGAAAATGGTATCACTCCATCATTTGTCAAAGAAAGCAATGAAATCAATTACTTTTGCCACATACGTTAATTGATTCTTATGACCGCAAAAAGATAAAGGTAAAATTCACTTTGTTTTTACCGTAATTAAAATAATTACGATTAATTTCGCAAGCGTAATCAAATCAATGTCACCTAGAAAATATAAAATCTAAATAAAATTGATTGTGCATTGTATAATAGGCAGAATTGCACGTCAATTTCCGAGACGTGTGGAGTAAAGAAAAATATGAAGATTCAGTACTCAGGAGTTTGCACTTTGTCCTAGCGTGCACTTTTCTCAAGTCCTTCGTTAAATCTCCATGAAAGTGTTTGTCTACTCGAGAAAGTCTCGACAAACGACCACTCACGCAGAATTGCTCATCTACCAAATTATAATATTCCTTGTTTACTCAACATCAACAGCTATTGCATCCAAGGACTCGATTGGCGGTGCTCACGAGACGATACTCGCGAAATTTCATAAACTCGACGTGACCAATCGCGCTTAAATGCGCCAAACGTCGAATTGCAATTCCGCATCCTTAATTAAAAATCGGCCCGAGAGGTGGGCAATTGCGCGGAACGAATAACTTGAAAAATAACGCGTACGCGCCGCCCTATGTTGAGAAATAAATTTCCACGATAATAAACGTTATGTACGCCACTTCCTGTACGCGTGTAAAGTACGCTAGTTGATAAAATAATCCCAAAGTCAGAGGACCACGGGAAAAAAAGGAGCAATTCCGTGACGCGTATCGGGAGTGCGTAAATTTCTATGTAATCATAAATCAGTCGGGTATACCAAAATTTTTCGCCCAGGCCCGACACGAGTACCGAAGTATTTGTTCCACAGTGCGTGGCTCGTACCATATACTGGCGGGTGCGTGACGCACATCCTGTTCCCGATTGCAGCGTACGTGCGTTCTTCGACCAAGAGAAAGAACGGAAAGAAAGCACAGAGATAGTGTGGTTTTCGATTTCACGTTGGGTTGTACTTATATTTTCTCTAAGCGTGTTCAATTGGACAGTTCGCGTGCTCATCGACTAAAAAAAAATTCCAAAAATAATGCGTTTCCCACAGAAATTTTTTAAATAATAATAACAGAGGCACCGAAACAATATTCATTAATTATAATATTTTTCTATTTCACGAAGCGTTGTTTACGTTCTCTGGATGTGTTCGATTAGATGGTCCGCGTGCTCATCAATTAAAACAAAAATAATAGAAATAATGCGTTTCCCAAAGAAATTTTTAAGACTTTATTAATCAAAATTGAAGCTCAAAGAGAGTTTATTTTTTATTGTAATACAAACTTAATCAGTACCGAAATCAGTACGAAAATGGTACCAACACGTTGAAACCGTATTGAAGTAATCTATAACCTGCATCCTTAAAAAAAATTTCACGAAATTGTAACATGATCTTCTAAATTATAAATTTATTTACATATTTGTAATAAATGTGCCCTAATTCACTTGTAAGGCATCAAATGTATGATTTTACTTCAATCGCGTGCACTAAAAGTTTATGAATTTTGCGAATATTTTTAATAGTGTGGGAATTACGGACTTCATTGGTTGTTAATCTATGATAATCTATTTAGAACCAAAACCAAACGTCAATATTATAATTTACCCACGTATGACATATCGACCCTATTTATCGCTGCACTTCAGAATTTCATTTACATCGAAATATGTCTATAAGCGATTTCGTGGCTCGATCAGGTGCGTCATACGTGATCATTATTCGTCCTTCGTATATTTTTATATCCGCGAAAAATCGGCCGGCTTTGCACTTCGGTTTATTTCAATAAGGTCGATCACCTCGGACCGATTAAAAGACACGGCTGAAAATAATCGTGTGCGCCGTTTAATGGCAGGAATAAAAATGAGACGATTGCGATGACCATAGAGTACAAGTCAGGCACGTGACCGAGTTCCAAACATCCGCGGGGACCATCTTTTTAAGATTTTCGAATCATTCCGGATTCTCAAGACCGCTTGTCGTCCCGTGGGATCTTCCGGAATGTCTAAAATGTCCCAGTGACGTCACTGGGCGGAAGAACGCAGACATTTTCTCCAGCCACGTGAGAATAACCAGAATCGAGGACGACGATCTACGTCGGTTTCCAAAATAGTCCTGCTGTTTTAATTTGAAGCAACGACCCCGTAAAAGTGCCTCTTGGGAAAAAGTAACATGGCGCTTCGATGTTATCAGACCTCTGTCTTTCTTAAAACTTCGGATATTGGATATGAATTTTCAATAGTCCAAATGATATAAAGTTGTACAATTTGCATTAAACGCGGTTTCCAAAATAGTCCTGTTGTTTTAATTTGAAGCAACAACCCCGTAAAAGTGCCTCTTGGGAAAAAGTAACATGGCGCTTCGATGTTATCAGACCTCTGTCTTCCTTAAAACTTCGGATATTGAATATGAATTTTCAATAGTCCAAATGATATAAAGTTGTACAATTTGCATTAAATGCAATTTTATGTGCACTTGCCCAGGACAGATGATAGAGGTGTTTTAATCTTCCCCATGCCATTTGGATATTCGATGTGAATTTTCAATGCCCGAAAGAATAGATATAAAATTGTATAATTTCCATTAAACACAATTATAGAAAGAATTTACTTAAGGCAGGGGATATCACTGTTTGACTCATCTGCCTTAATCCGATCGTTCTGGTGATGTTTTCAATTTCCGTAATGCGTAGTTTGTTAACATGTTATGTATGTTGCATTATACATTAACATCTGGCTTGGGCTCCATATTACTTGTATTTTTCATGAAATCGTCAGGTACCCACCCGGATTATGTTATGGAAGTCCGGTTATGGAAATGCGTCCAGTACGAAAACTTTCGTATCAGGGGATAATTAAACTCGGTCATTATATTCGTTTAAAAGAAAAAACTCTTCGCATAAAGTCTATAAAACGTGCCACCTGTAATAAACATAAGTGTTAAGATTATTGGAAGTTCACGGACGCAAGTTTATTGTACGTAGCAGGATTTGCACTATATGCCCTCGACAATTGACGCACTCACTAAAAACAAGCACCTATGGTTAGTACGACCACTTTTTTATTCCTCTCACATTTTAAGAGGGCACATTATGAATCAATGAAAAATGTTTAATAAGTCCAAAGGCACCGGGGACTGGTATTAATCTCCGATAACGTAGTGACGCAGAAAATCAAAGTGATTTTGATACCGCGTGCTTGTTGTGCACGATTATCATATTAATTATACTGAAAAAAGTCTGTCTCATAATTTGTATACACTTACTCGGGTTGATATTACCGGTAAAATCTACATTCACCGTTCAGAATTGTATATGAACCACACAAAAATGTTCATCTGCTACAGCCGCGGAGAATTTCATGCATCGATTATTGAGTATAACACGAAATTTCAGTGTTTGAACTCAGCCGGTAAAACAGGACTCCATCATGGTCTACGACACTATCAGGAAACTCAGTAGAGTTTCGCGCCAAATACATTTAAAAACATGCGCGAACGGCACCGTATACTCCACGCCAAACTTCGGCACTTCAATTCGATAAACATTTATTTCTGAAATAAGAGAACTTATCATGGATTAAAGTATTACGCCGGGTACTGTAATTCCCTTCAAAACACACAAACTATGTTTTATTCTTATATTGAACGTATTTCACATGCCTTTACATACCCACAAAATATGGCCGCGAAACATCGACTTTCTCATCGGCACATATCTGATATTAGTAAGTTTGCAGTGAATATATTGTACCGGGCTGCAATTTGATATTTACTGTCATTGTCCCTAACGTTACGTCACGTGTGCCAACTTGTGTTTTGACTTTTCTGGGCGACTTTTCTTACATCAGTTTTCGTATTTTCCAGAAAAAATTCCTTCGCATGTGGGCACCGGCAAATAATTCAGAAGTTCCATAGAAGCTCAGATCCTATCTTAGCTTGAGGCTTTAAAAGTTGGCTAACAAATCAGGAGGGGGGATAAAAGAGAGATAGTATGTGTTAGTCAACGGTATATCACATACGAGAGGAAGAGAGACGCGTATAGAAAGACGAGTACTACGTGTAAAATAAATAAAGAATCCATCCCGCTATATATCATCGTAAGATTAAGAGAGATGGAGAGATGATTACAGCGCCGCCATTCCTTGGTTAACGTACTATTTGTCGGGCATCAAATATCCGCATCCTTCTGAGCTTCTATGGAGACTTCTGAATTCTGTGATTTCATTCATATCTTAAACATATTTCTTATACCTCTATGTATACAAGATGTGATTACGACAGATTATCGACTCTTTCATCAGCAGATATTCGATTAACTTGAAAATGAATGCATCGTACCGAGCTGCAAATCGGCATCCACTGTCATGGCCGCTGACGTCACGTCACGCGTGTCGGCTCGGCCCCTCATTTCTGCGCGACTTTCTTACGTCAGTTTTCGTATTTCCGAAAGAAAATTTGCTGCCACGTAGGCGCACGGGTCAAGCCCGCATTTGTGCACGAACAGAGTGGCGCATCTCCCACTCCGCGCTGTTCGAATCGAACGATCGACGCGATTGGTCGGCCGGCCAGGCGGAGCGTTCCGATTGGTCGAAGGATCGGACGATCGCGGGATCGGCGTGCCGCGGGATTTAATTGCGCACTTCACTCGTAGTTTATGGGATTCGTCCAGGTAACCATGATTTTACTACGCCTTCCGTTTTTTCATCCTCGTTTTTTTCTTCCCAGAACCCTACGGAATATTCAAATGGCGCGGTTTCTTCGGCCTGGCCAGTCGGTCTAGGAGTTTATGGCGATACGCATATTTCTCTTAAGTGCAAATGTCTCGATGATGATCCCAGACGCGCCGAAACAGGTAGGCTGATTGATTAATTCTCATGTGCAATTGAAAATAGACGTAGATGTGGATTTATAAATTGCACTTCGTTAGGTTTCGCTCGGACGCCGATCTCGTGAATACGAGTCGCGATCTCAGGTAAGAAAATATTTACTTCTGATTCAACTACGTATTCCTTTTTTATCCCTATCTCGGCTTATTTCGTATTCAGATATGTGATGTATCTTCCTCGGTCTAGCTGCGGCTCACGTCGATACACTTATTTTCGACAAATGCAAATTTTCCCCCTCGCTAACCGTCACGCCTTAGCCCGGCGGAACAGGTCGATTAATTCATTCCTACCGAGCGTCGCGGTTCACGAAAGAATGCACTTTACCTGAATTTCGGCAAATATCAAGTTTACGCATTTACGTGGATTTTACGTATCGCCAGAGATAAATAGAATTTTCCAATCACGTAACTGGTCATCAAATGCATACTTGTTAATAATAAAACATTGATCCAAACACCTTTTCCATAGATTTATAAGTAAAAAAAAAGGTCATTTAAAATAATTACCCGTCATTGTAAATAAAACCAACATTGGTCATTGAAGGTAAACAAATTACGAATCAATTTATTTATTAAGTAAAAAGTTTTCGCATTTACGTGGATTTTACATATCGCCTGAGGTAAATAGAATTTTCCAATCACGTAACTGCTCGTCAAATGCATGTTGGTAATAAAACATTGATCAAAACACCTTTTCCATAGATTTATATGGAAAAGTAAGGTCATTTAAAATAATTACCCGTCACTGTAAATAAAACCAACATTGGTGATTGAAGGTAAACAAATTACGAATCGATTTATTTATCAAGTAAAAAGTTTACGCATTTACGTGGATTTTACGTATCGCCAGAGATAAATAGAATTTTCCAATCACGTAACTGGTCATCAAATGCATACTTGTTAATAATAAAACATTGATCCAAACACCTTTTCCATAGATTTATAAGTAAAAAAAAAGGTCATTTAAAATAATTACCCGTCATTGTAAATAAAACCAACATTGGTCATTGAAGGTAAACAAATTACGAATCAATTTATTTATTAAGTAAAAAGTTTTCGCATTTACGTGGATTTTACATATCGCCAGAGGTAAATAGAATTTTCCAATCACGTAACTGCTCGTCAAATGCATGTTGGTAATAAAACATTGATCAAAACACCTTTGCCACGGATTTATATGTAAAAAGAAAGGTCATTTAAAATAATTACCCTTTACTGTAAATAAAACCAACATTGGTGATTGAAGGTAAACAAATTACGAATCGATTTATTTATCAAGTAAAAAGTTTACGCATTTACGTGGATTTTACGTATCGCCAGAGGTAAACAGAATTTTCCAATCACGTAACTGCTCATCAAATGCATACTTGTTGATAATAAAACATTGATCAAAACACCTTTTCCATAGATGTATATGTAAAGGAAGGTCATTTAAAATAATTACCCCTTACTGTAAATAAAACCACCACTGGTGTTTTAAGGTAAACAAATTACGAATCGATCTATTTATCAAGTAAAAAGTTTACGCATGTACGATCAAGGTTGTGCAGTGACGCGTTACTCGAGGTTTTTTTACGTAAAATATATAAACGAAGTATTTTACGTAAAAAACCTGGTACAATACCTTGTAAATTACGCGACAAAGATGGTAGTACCGTGAACTCACTTTTTCAACGTATCCAAAGTGTGCGTCATTTGTGAATAAATATTGTAGTTAAAAATAAATATATAAAGAATCATGTCTGGAGGGAACAAACCATCAACAAGATCTTTCAGGCTTCAAGATTACAATTTTTGATGCATTCCATGGAAAAGTATGATTTCTTCACCTGTATTCATGTTTTATATATAACAAATTAGAAACGGAACCAAAAACTGCATAAATAGAGTCCATGTAAAGTATTTACATAATTTAGATCACGTACAAAACTCGTGACGTAAAGTACGTAGTAATTTACTGTATGAAAACTATGTAAATTATTTGGAATATTTTACTTAACCAACTCAGTGTACGATTATGGTGTTAAAATGTATATAACGTTCATCTTACCGATTCAACGGAAGATCTGTGAGAAAGTCCTTAACATTTCAATTAAAGTTAATATTCGCGTCACAGAGAACAATAGCTACCCGATATATCCGCTTACGTTTTGGTAATATAACTTTTTCACCACTATGGGCGCTTGTGAAAAAAAAAAAAAAAAAGAAGAAAATGTTAACAGATATCATAGGCTCCAAAATGGACGCGTGCGAGTGACGTTCGACACGGCCGTGAAGGCTCGGGTATTAAATTTAATGTAGCCGGCATGAAGAAGCGAAATGCGCCTCGAATTCGAATTTAGCGAGCTATTAAAATCGTGTTCTTTTTCTCCAGGATCGCTTGCAAACATGACGATGCAGTGGTGTCGGTCCTCCAACCGGCAATTAGCACAGAATACACATAAATGTCACATGTAATTACACGGTACCGTTTACATCGAGTGAGCATTAATGGACGAACGGCGAAAGGGAAAGTATACGTTTCAGTTTTTGGAAGCCAAATTAACACGAGTCAAAGGCTTTTAACCTTTCATTATGTATCCGTGGATGGACATCGTGAGCGAACGTCAAAAACACTGAAAGCCACGTGACTATGGCGCGAGAATTATTTAAAGGATATAAGTGAATCGGCAAATGATAGAGAAATATTGGCATGTATTTTATTGGATTAATAACGGTAAATGTGCAAAGTCAATTATGCTAGGCAATATAGGCAAATGACCGCAGGGTAATAAATAAATTGACATTTACAGGATGTCAAGAAAGAATTGGAGATGTTAAGACGTGTCAGGGGTGATCCTAAATAATACTAAAAGTTACGGGATTATGGCGCGAGAATTATTTAAACGAGATAAGCGAATCGGTAAATGCCAGAGAAATATTGGCATATCTTTTATTGGATTAATAACGATAATGTGCAAAGTCAGTTATGTTAGGCAATATAGGTAAATGACCGCTGGGTAATAAATAAATTGACATTTACAGGATATCAAGAAAGAATTGAAAATGTTAAGACGTGTCAGGGGTGATCCTAAATAATACTGAAAGTTACGAGATTATGGCGCGAGAATTATTTAAATGAGATAAGTGAATCGGTAAATGCCAGAGAAATATTGGCATGTCTTTTATTGGATTAATAACGATAATATGCAAAGTCAATTATGCTATGCAGTGTAGGTAAATTAGTAAGAAATATATTAAGATCTACAGGACAACGAGGAAGAATTGAAGATTTCAAGATGTGTCAGGAAGCAAAATTCGGATTATAAAAATTCTAAGAGGAAAAGGATGGAAAGTGGTCAAATTAGATTTGGAATACCCTCGTTACGAACAATCAGCAATTCAAGGATATCGTTATCGGGGTTGTCAATGAAGCGCATGATTGGCGTGTTATTGCTCACGCGTCATTTCTGTACACTATATAGCAGTGGGTTTTCTACAGTGCGTAAGACTCGTACAGGTACCGTAATTTCAATACTGTATTTTTCGTAATCGCTACATTTGCAAAACCGCGAGAGCTCGCAATTACCTAAGGTATAATGTGCGGTCACGATCTTCTACGACTAAATTGCTATGTGTCGTTGGGAAGGAAAACCACGGCGGTTGCGCAAAATTCTTCGAAACTGTTGACGGAACCAAGAACACATTGTATTGGGGTCCTAAATGAATTTAGAACATCCGGTCATCATTACGGTCAAATCATCGACGTTACTTTGATTCTTAACATTGTCGAATTATCCGTTGAAGACACTTTACGGGAGATCTGACATTTTCGGATTACCTAGAAAGTTCTTGGAAGAGTTTCATCAAGATTCCGGTATTGCTTGATCTCAAGGAAGATCAAAGGGGTAAATGTCCCTTTTTCGGATTATACGACCCGAAAAAGAGAACATTAGTTATTAATAAATTGTATGTAAACAAACAACGGATCTGGAGTGCTCAAGACAGAATTCAAAAGAATAAAAGGGACCATAAGCACCCGAGTAGAGGTGAAAATTTGACTTTTGATCGTCAACAAAGGAGATGCAAAGAAGAAAAAAATATGGATCTGAAAAAAGAACTCTACCGTATATTACGTTACAGTTTTTCAGTTTTTATATAAAGTTGTTCATATTGTTCGATTTTTAATCTTTTATCCCATCGTGGGTGACAAATAACGTGGATAAGGTGACGAATGATACGAATCATGAGCCTTGGACGTCATCCTGAATTGATTTTTGTCTGGAAAAGGGAGTGGAAAGGGGCACTGTGTTTCATGGTAATATTTTAATTTTTATATAAAGTTATTCGTATGGCTCGATTTAATTTTTTCTTTCACTGGTATGAAAAATCTGAATAACAACTTGTACATAGTTATGAATGATACATCTCACGAGCCCTACACGTCATTCTGAATGGATATTTCTAAAAAAGACTCGACGTATATTACGTTACAGTTTTTCATCTTCTGTGTACAGATGTTTGTGTAGCCCGATATTAATTTTTGCCCCATTAATTAAAAAGATGGGAATAACAAATAACGCAGATACAGTGATGACTGATATCGTACCTTACTAACCCTGGACGTCATCCTGAATTGATTCTGTTCGAGCATAAATTAAAAATGAATCATGAAGCGGGAATGCTGTGCGACTTTTACTACGATATTTTTTTCCCCGTTCTTACGTCTCGTTAGGAGAAAACATTCTATGAGTTTACTAGGAAAACACTATACCTCAATATTGGTGGTTTCTGACTGTTCGCACAGCTGGTGAAAAATTCGTCCGTCACGTTTGACAAGTCTTCAATTTTTTCAGTGTCGATCATTTGATAATAACTGATAACTAAAGTAAAATGAGCTTAACCTTGTACTTTAATACATAAATCGAACAATTGTACCAGTTAATCATATCTTTTTCCTGCAAGTTTACATTTTATTTCTACATCCTGGATTAGGATTCTTGTTATAGGCATACCTCTTAAAATGTAATGACAATAATTTGCAAATATTTGGAGAAACACTTTCGTGTCCTCGTAAACAATTTCTCTTAGCACGTTGACATTGGTCATAAGAAGAGAATTAAATGACTAGTATAGAACGATAAGCCCGTAACGAGACAGATTTTGAAATTCATCAGTTGAAAATAACTCTGGCGCCGACTAAAAATAGCGGCATTAATCGGCGATAGGAGACATTTTCGTAAGCGCATCGAAAACACTTACATTGACGTCACGGCATTGTCGATGCTCTTATTGTGTCTCATAAATATCTCCTGACCTCCTTAAAAAAAAAGTGGTAGATGCGACTAATCCCTCGGGTGTTATCACCCTCAATGATTTATGTGCATACAAAAATTGTAAATATTCGCATAAATTTAGCAGCAGGTGAAAATAATTTCGTCCCGAGATAACATTACGCAATGGATAATTTAGATAAATAGAATAGCTCGAAATTAGGCATTGAAAAAAATACTACTTCATTGACCGTACTATATTATTTTTTTATTTCAAACATTCATTTATATGAAATGAAATTACACAAAATTCGCCATTTCCGTTGTAAAATGACTACGTGCGTTTCGTCAAATCTTGATTATCTACCATTATACAACTACCTCGCTTCTTTAATTGAATTCACCTTGATTGGCTCGATCAATATTGTCAAAACTATGGCAACGATAGTCATACTTCCCCCGTCTAATTCTATTTCAACTTATTTCAAATGGGTTTGTTCGGCATTTCTTTAATATTCCACAAAATGCCAACAGTCCTTGTTCACTGGAATGACTTTCGATACATTCTTCCTACATGTTCTTAGTACACTTAGCCGCGAGCAATTACTTCATTCCAGGCAATCTTAAAGGTTTAGTTTCGCAACAATACAGGGTACCGAGAATTTCCGTCAGGGCTTTATTCTCTTCTCTTCGGAGAAACCGACGCAACTCGGAGGGAAGAACGTAATATGGATATCCAAAAATGCGATGTTTTAACAGGTGTTAAAATATTTTCACGTATACCCAATCGTGGTGAGGAAAAATTGCACTTGACGAAAACTGGGATTCTCCGGTTGAGCTATCCGTATGCCGCGCGTGCGAAATAAGTCATGCTCGATAAGCGCTCATAATTAATAGCTCTTACGTATTCCCTGTCGAGGAACTTCCCTTATTATCTCGCCTCATTTCGACTCTCATTAAGCCGCGATTATTGTACGCGTTTCCGATGCAATATCCCGCTGCCAAAATCGCAATTAATCAACGCCGGAAGCGCGATTGTCAAGTCCGGAATTTCGAGTAATTGCCAATTAATCCGAACTATTCGCGGCCTACTCGTAATAATGAAATGTCACGTCATTTTCAAGAGTATAAGGGGGTGGCATCCAAGATCTCAATCAAAGGAGACGAGTTCTATATACGTATTAGTAAACGAAATAAATCTCAAATCACTTCCGGAAAAGAATGTCCTTCAGTCCAGAAAGGCACTTTAAGGCCACGTTATATAAAATTTCGGACGACTGACAAGAGAAAGCTATCGATTTACTCGTAATAAGAAACCGGCTCGCAATTGCAATTTTTAAGATTCTTAAGTGGACGTGAAATTGGCGTCCGTATCGGTGTGTCATACGGTAGATAATTGTTTGCAAAGTGAAAAATAAGTACTGTTGTATTGATATTCCGGGTTAGAACCTTCCGATCTCAACGTTTTCAAGATCAATTACTGTACTTGTGTATTGGAAATAATATTTACTTATAACCCAGATTTAATATAAATATTTTTCTTACAATAATGTCAACACCGTGCGGGTTATCTTGTTAGTGGTCGATAGAAATAAGACGCGAAATCAGTGATACACTTTAGGATGTATTAAAACTAATGAGGAATTTTCTGAGGCAATTATCATATACAGTGTATCTTATATCACTTTGAGTTAATGATAAGATTTCAATTTAATTAAGCGATAATGCGGTAAGACCTGGTAAAATAAACGTTTGTCGGTTTCCTGCTTAGTCATACGAACGTGGGACAGTTCGCATTGTTTCGATACATTGGCTAGTCACATGTATCAATAAAATAGGACTCGATATCACCTGACAAGTTTCCCAAGACATTTCGATAAATCATCACGTAGCAGACATGTCTAGGAAGCCACTGTCCAAAGAAGTGCAGTATAAATACATCACATGTAACATTGATACATGTTACACGATATTTCCATGGCGATATTACAAATACACGACTTAATTCAACATAATGCCGTATCTTGTAATTACAGAATTTAAACAAAGCAACCACAATTTACATGAAAGATATTCGATAAGGGTAACGTTTATGAATATCAATTATTGGAGGGAATAATTGAGCAATAAATTTCCTCGAGCGTAGGCCTTGCGAGAACGTCTAATACCATGAAATCTCTGAAGTCACTTATCGTGATTATTATCTCATTAAATCTCGATAAAACGATGCGATGACACGACTTTCTCATTTTGTAAGATGAATTTTAACGATCTGCCTCCTGAGATATTACATCGATGCTGGAAGAAGTGGTAGGAAAAAAATTGCTATCGATAAGAGACGTCTATTCGATTAAGCGTTTCACATCAAAGCTGCCGAAAGATTGCCTCGTCTTAAGTTAGATTAAGTTACATCGAACTTTTAGCAATACAGTAACAAATACTATTCCTTAACTTAATCTCATCAGGATCCGTTCCCAGTGAATACGTAATGAGGAAATAAATTATTTCCTTTTAAGATCATTTTTTTATTCTCTCTACGTAATACATTTACGATCAGATGATTTAGGATGTT